ATTCTAAAATGTTTTGTTGCTTTTTCAGGTTCACTTTCTCTAGGCACCGTGAAAGGGAATGGTCAGTGGCTCTGTTTTCTTTCATGCCAGAATCCTTCCCTGACTCAKGCCCCTGTAGAAGACTCAGGAACTGTGTTTGCAGCACTGCTGTTCTAAAATTAAATCTATTTAAAAAAAAAAAATTCAGATCAACCAAAGTGTCTCTAAAGTATTGTCTTTATTAAAGACTCTGTCAGGTAATCACGTTACAATTTGGCCCAGATGCTCTGCCTATCACTTTTTTGAAGATGATTGCTCATGATGGCAATGTCTGGGCTGATAACTAAATCAAGCTCAGCGTTTAGAGCAGAGGGTTGGCCAGAGGCACTTGTTGCACGAGGTACCAGGCAGTGCCTTAGGACTCTTCAGCACGGGGGGATGCTRTGAGCTGAGCTGGATTGTTCTGTGAATGCACAATGCTCCTTGCAAACAGAACAGAGTACATCCCCGACCACCCTCCATGCAGAGCCGGGAGCTTTGCCTGCTGGAGGCCAGACTGTAACATGCAAAGAGAAAAGAAACCCAGCCCCTTTCACACCGATGAACCTCGGAGGAGGTGCAGAAACACCAGGTGTGTGATCCCTGTTGGTGACCTTGTTTCCATAAGGGAATCCCAGGCCCATGGAGCAAGCCATAACGGCTGGGACTGGTGGGAAAGCAGCTCCCAGCTCCCAGCGACTGGAATTTTTTTCATTTGCGCTGCTGGCAAAYACACTGACACCTCATCAGAGCGTGTTAACCTGCAGCACTCAGGAGGGCCATGGCCCACCCTGGATCTCCCCTGAGTCTGCATGCTGAGGTATGAGGTGTTTCCCTGTTTCCCAGGTGTTTCCCTGGTTAATCCAGCACATGGTTCAGTGAAATGTCAGTGACAGCTTTGGGGGTACAATAAGTTCTGCCACCACAGAAGACACCATGTGGCCACTGTTGCTCTGTGCGCCTGCCAGGCAGATCACAGGGTACCAAGGCCTCTCTAAAAGCACTGCAATACCAAACTAATTCAGCCCCCGTTCATGACATTTCCCTCCTGTTTTGAAATCCTGCCTTTGAATGATGCTCTGTCCATTATTTATCCACCTGAGAACAGACRTGCTTGCAAATCATTCCCCTGAGCTGCCAGGTAGCTCGCTGGAAATGGCACCGGCTCACAACAGCAAGATGGATGATGGGCTGGAGCAGTTTAATTCTGAGAATAACACCCTTTGACTTTCCAGCTCAAAACTGTGATTGTCTCCTGGCGGGACATGAAAAATTCCCASAAGATCCATGGCACCCAGAGTGTTGAGCCCTTATTTCAGAGCACAACTCTCCCTTGTGATCAGTTCTGCTGGGAAATAATATCCAAGAGCCATGTAAATGCTATGATTAACTTCTGCAGCAACAGTGTATGGATCAGAATCASCAAAATATATATGCACTTCTGATTACCCATTAACTTAATTTTTTGAAGGTTCACAAGTCCAGCCTATTTGTACAGCGCCTGTTAGGCAAGAGTGCAGATTATGCCCAAATCACTTCTAATTTAAATTAGAGCAATTTTGCTCATTTTACACCAACATAGAAGTGGCAAGGAAAGGGACTGCTTTGGCCTTCTTGTCTCCCATGTAACAGTGCTTAAATCTCTCTAAAGTAGTTGTKTTCATTTTCCCCATTTTCTCCATCAATTGCAAGACAACAACATAAAACACTGAAGGTTGGGTGCTGCTGCTGCAGAGCATTTGGCCCCTGGCAGGATTACATTCTGGAGTGTACAATAAACTATTTCTTCCACTAAGTTTTCATAGGCAGCAGCTGGCATTGGGTTTTGTGATGTAAATCTGTTGCTGCTTTTATCTACTGATTTTGGGGCAGAAGGTGGAAAAGATATTGTGCTACATGTGTTGAGTTTATTCTGCAGATGTCTGTGGAAAGGTCAGCTTTATCTACAACCAGAGTCAGTCATTCTGGAGGCCGGCAGCAATATTCTACATTGTCCTTTTACACATCTGAGAAACACTGCTTTTCCTACTGTTCTTCCTGAAGGTTACACACTTCTTACACAATATGAGCATCAAAATCCTCATTAAATGGGGGTTTGTGAGTATGGATCTCCCAACATTGATACACAGGAATTGAAGTATTTGTATTTTGTAACATGGTCAGGTGTTGATAGCATCAGTAGCATTCTGTGTTTTTTTCAGACACCGGCTAGTAGAGATTAAATACATCCCTTTGTGTCTTGTGTGCTTCACCTCCCAGAGAGTGCCCAAAAACTCATTTTATATTGCTTTAGATAAGGGAAGAGTGCTGAAAGTAAAACACCTATCAGAACTCCAGAGGAACCTCGACGAGGTTCTGGACCCCAAGGAAAAAGGGAGAAACCAGAAAGCAGAGAGAAAGATCAGATTAGGCTGATGGAATAATATCCAGGTTTTGAGATCCRAATGCTCCTGAGATCATATAACCTCATGTGGCTGTATCAGCGGGACTGAACTTCAGTAGCATAWTTTCAAAAACATGGAGTACTTTCAGAGTTGCTACACAGCAGAATTTTGTCATCCTAACAATGTTTTATCCCAATGCTATCTTCAGCAATCTGTAATTTTGTCACATTTTCCAAGAGCAAGCAGGGTAGTCTGCCCTGACCCGTGCCACCCTGGCAGTGTCCATCTTCTGCTGACCTCTGGGGATGGCTGGACAGCATCCAGCAATTCAGGCAGATCTGCTGAGCTATGACCTGCCCTCATCTCTCTCTGAAATCCCCAGATGGGGAGGGTTACATTTTTATGAAGTTTTCCTGGTTTGATGGGTCTCTTTTAGTGGCTTGGGGACAGACTGTCTAGCAGTAGGTACAGAATAAAGTGTAAATTAAAAAACACAACACCAGCAAATCCAGGTAGGATGTACATAATGCTGCCACCACTGACAGCAAAAAGTGGGGCAATAAGTATCTGGGACTGATTAACCTGAATTATGACTTTTTCTCTAGCAGCTTCCAAATTTTGGGCTGTGATTTAAAAAACACAGCGTGAGTCCTGACACATTGTGGGCCCCACTAGCAAGACTTGTGCTTGCTGTGTTTATGGAACAAAACTGGTATCCTTCATCTTTATTATGATATAATAATCTTTTCTCTCATATCTGCCCTTTACACAGACTCCCCCATGGACTTAGCTGGTATAAAATAGACCAAGGACAAGCCACCACTGGCTGTGCTATTATAAATTCCATTCACAAGGAGGCTAAAATGAACTATTCTACATGGAAAAATTAACCAGCATGATTACAGTAATAACCTAGAGTTATCATGGTCCTCAGGTGGGCACACTGTTCCAATTTTATTTGGAAATAATTACTTCAAAAGCAGAGCAATTTTTCCAGGACGCTGTCTCACTTTGAAGGAGCGTATCCACGCCACTGCAGCAGCAGTGACAGAGATTTTCTTTGCATAAGCAAAGCCCAGGAGAGGGAACACATTACATATGTCTCCTCCATAATGTGCTGCAGTAAATATGAGACTAAAAGGGCTGAAAGAGAGAAATCTTGGAAGTTGGATAGAGCCTTGCACAGAAAGTGAACAGTCACACCAGGCTCGGAGCCATAGTCACAGTTTGGCTCGGTGCAGCCTTGTGTCATTTGTAATAGTGACATTCCACTTTGTTCCAGATTTAATTTGGATCATCAACCACAAACGGGAGCAGCAATAATGAAAAAACAATGATTCTGATCCAATAGTTTTTCACTCCTTTTTGAAACCCCACTACATCATTACAGCAAAGGGGAGAAGGAAGCCAAGAGCTGTGAATCCATCAGTGGGGATTTCTCTCCATTTATGTCTCTCTTGAATTTTCGTAGAGTAATCACAAGCCTAACCAGGATGTAAAGCTCCCCAGATGCAATGGGTTTCCCCCAGAGCACAAAAGTRGTCAACCCTAAAGAAGTATTTAGTTTGAATGAGCATGAAACAGAAGCATAACTGCCTCTGACATGGGGTGGAGAGGTAAAGCCATTATCAACAAGATCTAAAATTTAAAATGAGAAAATATACACTTAGATACATTTATTATATATTGTTTGTGGATATCACACATTAAATATCCATTGTTGCAAAAGTATAAGATATGTGCTTATATAAATACTGTAACGGACCAAAGTCAATACTAAGAGTCAGAGTCTCGGATTCAAACACTCAGTTACAACTCTTCATGGAAATATTCATTTTCCAAGCTTCTGGGAGTAAAAGCCTTAGATTATTTTGGTGTACATAAGACACAGTTCTCTAAAGAACCACTTCCATGGAATTCTGAGATCAATGCTTGTTTCAATTTCAGTGATATAAGATATCAGAGGACAAATTCACCCATTGGATGAATGTAGACATACATTGACTGTAGACAACAGACCAAAGAAATAGCTATATAAATTCTAAAGCTAAAATA